ATGGCACACACAGAGTTTGGTGTTAATATGTGAAAGCTTTGCAAAGATACAGCCTCAGATGCAGTTTGGCATCATGCCTCAAATTTGTTGTAGCACTATACAAAAATGGTTTCGTGTATCGACACGAAATCCATAAATTTTTGTCAGCACAGTCTGAAGATGATCTGACTCGATTTAGGTGAAAATCGGACCAACGGTTGATGAGGAGTTTGAAAAAGTAGGATTTCAACATAAATCAAAATGTTGGACATAGGGCTGCACGATAAATCGCTGATTACAGAACCGGCTTTACTGATAAGATGCGCGTTAAATATCGCATGCGATTTATCGTGCAGACCTAGTTGGACAGAAAGTTTAGCTTACTATGGCATATTTGGTGTCTATGTTGTCGGCATGAGCCAAGGAATATTTTGAGATCAGTTTCATTACAATAGACTAATGCAATCAAAAGTTATTAGCAGTTTTGGAAATATAATTATTAATGGTTAATGAATGGTTTATTACTCTTGACCAATAGGTGGCACTGTTACCAAATTGATGTGGCATGATCAGTTTGAGGTGATAATGGCACATATAAAGTTTGATGTAAATATGTCAAAGCTTTGCAGAGATACAGCCCTCAGATGCAGTTTGGCATCTTTCCTGCAAATTCGTTGATTCGCTAAACGAGAACCGTTTCGTATATCGACACTAAATCCAGAACTTTTTTGTCTGCATGGTATGAAGATGATCCGAGTCGAATTTGATGAAAATCAGACTGACGGTCTAGGAGGAGTTTGAAAAAGTAGATTTTCAACATAAATCAAAATGGCGAACAGGAAGTTCAGTCAATTATGGTAAAATTGGTATTGATGTTCTCGGCATGATCCAAGGAATATTTCAACATCAGTCCCATTACAATAGGCTAATGTAAGCAAAAGTTATTAGCATTTTTAGAAATTTCATTATAACTTTTGACAGCCCCCGAACTGTCTAGGATGCACACCGAGTTTTGTAATGATGCTTCAATGCGTTCATAAATTATAGCATTTTATGACAAAATTCTAAATGGCCGATGCCCAAAATGGCCGATATGGGAAAATTGGATATGGTTCGACTCGGCATGCTTCACCGAATCTAAAGAGACTAGTTTTGTGATTTTTGGTCAAACCATTCAAAAGTTATAAGCAAAAATAGCAATTTTTCGTATCTCCTGACCGCTAGGTGGCACTGCGCAGAAACACTGCAGGTAGCCTCAGGTCATGCTTGTTATAACACACACCAAGTTTGGTGTTAATATGCCAAACCGTTGCGGAGATATAGCCTCACATCCATTTTTGCGTGCTTTTTGTAGAATTAGTTTGCATGTTATTCGAGAAAGGTGGGACAAATCAACTTGAATTCCATAACCTTTTGCCAGCATGGTCTGAACCAATTTTGGTGAAAATCAGACAAACCGTCTAGGACGAGTTCGAAAAAGTACGTTTTTCAAACTATTAAAAATAGCGAAAAAACTAAACCTTATGATTTTAAAATTTTGGAGTTCATTCGACTCGACATGAGCCAAGGCTCAAATTTTCCTTCTATGCCTTACAGTTCAAAAGTTATTAGCATAAACATGAGTGAAAATTTGGACAAGTGGTGGCGCTAGAGAGTTTAAGTTAGAAACTCCAAATTTGCTATGGTGACTATTCAGACTGTGCTCTATCAGTGTGCCAAATTTAATTACTTTCTTGCAAGCGGTTCTATGGGCTGCCATAGACTCAAAAGTACCTTCGGTGCTTGGCCCCCAATAATAATCTGACAATGAAATGAACAAACCTAGTTGTTGTATGTCAGCTCTAAATCAGGAAAACACTTACTCACAGTACACTGACAAGCAAACTGGCATTAAAGAGTGAAACGTTTCTTTTCACTGGCTTATGTTTCATCGGCTGGGCCTGACAGCTCCATTAGCAGTACACATGGCCCAACATCTCACATAACTTACAGAGTTGTTTTTGGACTTTAAAGTTAGCTCTTGCCAAGTTAGGTCCCTGTCCTGTTGATGTATGCTGGCTGAATTCTGGATGAATACTGTGGCACCATTAACATGATAAATTCAGGCAACTTTTGGTTGAGTCAGTCGAGCCAATGATTTTGCTTTTATTATGTTTTAAACTTTTTTTCTAACAGTGGTGGACCATGGGTTTTAAGTTTGGGCCTTAATGTGATTCTTGCCTTCAAGAAACACAGTTTTATAATGAATACGACATCATGCTACAGTGCCTATTGTTTACTTACTTACTCCAGTAATACATGTATTTTGTATCTTATACAAAATAAATGTAAAATTGGTAATTCATTAAAGTATCACTATTAGGCTGAAATCTGATTTTCCCTTCCTTTTCCCTGAAAGAGAGAGAGAGAGAGAGAGAGAGAGAGAGAGAGAGAGAGATTTCTTTTTCTTTTTACATTAATATTAAATTAAATAAATGACATTAAAATTCAAAGTAATCACTTTGTTAATCTAAAATACTTTTAGGATATAACTGTAATTTGATTACCACTTATTTAAAATGTAACTGTAATGGAATTCAGTTATGTATTTTAAATACGTAATGGCATTACATGTCTTTCGTTACTCCCGACCCTGATCATAACTTCCACATACTGAAGGATGCTCCTGTGTTTCTTTGCTCAAGTGTAAGATTCTTCCATCCCCAATCCTCATCTCCTCATGGGGCAATTAGTGAAAATGAGCCATCTTTTTCCGGTTCAATACATTTTCCAAAACCATGGTCATGCAGAACATCTCTTGTACAGCTTACTTAATGTGTGATTGCATAACTCAAGACCACAGATGGGAACAAATGCACAAAAATGTAGATGGAGCTATTCTGTCTGACATCTACATTTTGTGTACTTAAAAGTTGGGATTGGGGGACATGCCTGAACTACAGTAGGTGATACAGGAAATCAGCAGCCTAATAAACAAGCTAACTTGCACAAATACCATACTTAAATGTAATTGGCTATATATTTTAAAGACTGTAAAATACATAGTACAAAATAGTATTTTGTATTTCAAATATATATTTTTGAATACATGCATATGAAATACTGGCCATCATTCTCAAGACCTGCTCGAAGGCCTCAGCAATGACATATCTGAAACATTACACCCACACACAGAACAGGTACAAATAGAACTTTGCTTGAAAACTTCAAAGAACAAACTCTATTTGCATAAAGTTATTTTTCCACTATTTGTTTGTAAACAAAGTCTGCAGATGGACAGAATCAAGTGTAGTAGTGATAGACATTCAAATAGGCATGTGTTATAATGATGTGAATTGTTTGAATCATTCCCAATTCATTAAACTAATTTTAAAGGGTTAGTTCACCCAAAAAATGAAAATTAGCCCATAAATTACTCACCCTCAAGTTATCCTATGTGTATATGACTTTCTTCTTTCAGACAAATCCAGTCGGAGGTATATTAAAAATTGTCTTTGATCTTTCAAGCTGTTTCATTGCACTCAGCTCAGTTGCATGCATCAGTCCAAAATAAATTAAATAAAAAGCGCCCATCCATAAAAAAAAGTGTCTCACACGGCTCCGGGG